CAAAAAAAAAAATAAATTTAAATTAAATGATGACAATTAAAAAAAAAAAAAATTATTATTAAGTAACGTATTTTAAATCGCCACCACCACCACCACCTACACGTGTATATAAAAACATTGTATTATTATTATTATTATTATTATTATTATTATTATTATTATTATTATTATTATTATTTGTTAATCCAAAATTATATACTTTAATAAAAAAACAAAATAAAACGAAAAAAAATTATGTAAAATAAAAAATGTTTTATACATGATTTTTAATCGTGTTTAATTTTCAAAAAAAAAACATTTTAAATCCGCCACCCTCCTCTCCTTCCCCCCACCACCCCTCGCAAAAAACAAAACGAATACCTTAATTTTTTGAATTTTTTAAAAATTATGACTTTCAACTTTGATACACTTTTTACTTTGTCGTTGTTAAAAAAAAGTTTAAATGACGAATAAAAAAAAATGTCATTTTTTTTTTTTTTTAATTACAAAAAATTTATTTTTCGCGCACATAAAAAAATTTTAAAAGAAATGACGACAATAATAATAATAATAATAATAATAATTTTTTAATAGTATTATTATTATTATTATTTTAAAAATAGTGAAAACTTTATAACAAATAACTCGACACACTCTTTTTATTTATTTATTTATTAATAACGAACAATATCCTTTATCCTTTCTCCATGACGATTCCAGTATAGAAAAAAGAGAAACTTTTAAAGATGGCTGATGATGATGATCACAACTCGATTTTTTTTTTCCAGTTATGGCTTTTTTTTTTTTTTTTATTGACTTTTTCCTACGGTTTATTACACTTTTGTATAAAATAATTTTCCATAATTATTATTAATATCGTTATAAATGATGATTAAGTAAAATAAATAAATAAATAAAATTTTAAATTCTAAAAAAAATTATTTTGAAAAAAAAAAACCCACGTAAATCTTTTTTTTTTTTAATTTAAAATCATTGATGTTATTAATAATAATAATAATAAAATCAACGAAGAGAGAGAGAGAGAGAGAGGGGGGGGGAAGAGAAAACGCACGTTTTCCATTACCTGTTGATAAAAAAAAAAATAAAATAAAATAAAATAATTAATTAAAAAAATACGTGTACGATTGTTTCATTTAATGACAAAAAAAAAAAACTTAATTAAAATTTCGGTGTGCGTGTGCGTGTGCGTGTATTATCATTATTATCATCTTATACGTGCGACGATTTCGTAAATCTTAAATAATTGAAACTCAATCGAATATATATTTATGTGCGCATCTAACTAATTTTATCTCTATCCTTGATTGTATAATTTCGTTTTATTCTTCTTCTCCTCCTCTCATCTTCTCCTTTTTCTTCATCTCCTTTTCCTTCTCCTCCTTCATCTTCTTTTTATTCCATCTACGGCACTATAAAATTTATGGCCGAACCCCAAAAATAAATGCTTAATTAATCTTTTTTGTCATTCTTTATTTACGAAGATTGATTTCGAGCCAATTTCCGTCCGGTTTATCACAACGGGGGGCGGGGGGCGGGAAGGGGAGAATGAATTTCATCAAAACAAATAATCTTTTTTCTTTTTTTATTGACTTTTCTCTCTCTCTCTCTCTCTCTCTCCCCCGAAGAGATTATCCCCGAAATATTAACCCGTTTTTCCTTTCTTTCTTATATGTCATCGAAGCTTGACTGAATTAAATTCTCTCTCCCTCTCTCTCTCTCTCTTTCTCGCTCTCTTTCTACAGACACGTTATTTATTTCATCTATGACGTAATTTAATGTTAATATGTATGTGTGTAATCGTTTACCGGTTTTTTTTTTTTAATTAAAAATATCGTCGTAAGTCGTGTCGCAAAACAAAACAACAAAATTATTAATTATTAATAATAGTAGGAAGAACCTTGAATCGATATCACGTAAAATTATTTTATTATAATAATAATAATAATAATAAAATAATATTTTTTTTGTCCATCCGTTTCAAAAACAAAAAAAAAATTTTTTTTTTTTACCTGAAGGAAATTTGGGGGGGTAAGAGGGGGGAAAATCGAGTGAATTGAAAGATGCACACACACACACACACACACACCTCACATACACAAAGTGTCGAGTGTTGTCGTGTTGATCGGGGATCTTTTTTTTTTTTTTTTTTTTTTTTTTTTAAATACACGTAAGTCAAATCTTGTTAATAATTTATTCGATTAAATAATTACTTAAGTCGTTTTTTTAAATAATTATTACGATCGGACCAGGTGTGAAAACGTGTTGAGGGGG